CGATAAAACCGATTCGTTCGGAAGTTAAATAGTTTTAAACACAATTTAACCCAAAACAGACATTTTCAACCCATTTTCGACACAGTTAGCAACCACAAACAAAATGCATCATACTATTGAAAAGCTGGCAAAATAAGTTTTTATATGGATATAACATGGCAAAATTAACGTATTTGTTAGTAGTGTAATTTATTGTTTAAAATTCCTATAAATCATGGTGCACCGCCACCTTAAGCAAAAATGACCACAATAAATGACTGATAAGGATAACTTTTGAACGTCATGTTCAGTAAAACACAGCAGTGGCCACCTTTAACCACCATATTCTACTTGATTTTGTGGTTTCTGCAAAACTTGAAGTTCACAACAATCAAAGTATACTTGTCTGGCATATACAATCACTATTTGCCAGCTGGTTATCTAAACCTGCTTGTAACCAACCAAGGTCAACCTTTTCATCCCTTGGTCAATCAAACATACACTGAGGGTACTATCCAAAAAGGCTGCAAAGTTTTGCTAAAATGGCCACGCTTACCCATAACATTCAATACTTTTTGTCGCTTCTGTGAGAAGGTGTCTTTAGACCATACGACCATACCTCTTACTTAAATCAACATTCCTCCTTCTTTCTTTTTACCTTTATGACAAGCTTTTTCAAACCCTGTTATAACTTGATCAGGTTCAGAAAATTCAGAAAGAAATATACAGCCAATACATGCAAGTTTTGTAGTAGAAATCCAAATATCTAGTATATGGTAAAACATGCAATATATGATGGCAGGGTTTAATCAGTCAGGGAGATAGCCTTAAGAATAGAGTAATTTTTGGTATATTAGAGAAAGCGTCTTGGCAAATCATAGATGGCAGTACCTGTGTTAAACATGGTTGGTTATCACTGAGCAGTCCAGACTACAAGTCTGTAAACCAGATGGAGGGAAAGTCCCATGACCTAATCACCAGAGACGAAATTGCCTACAAGGTGAATATCATAAAGAAATTTGACACATCTGTTAAACTAGTTCAATGTGTTGTCGTGTGACGGTACCGCTTAAGGAGCAATTGAACGCAAACATCAAAGAGATGAAAGGTAATATCAAGAAAGTTACAAAATCAACAGACTGGATAAGTACAGAAGCCAAATATGCTTTGTGTATGCATTGAGCCACGAGATCTAAATCAGTCTATTATAATAGCCAAATATTAAATGCCAACTGTGGATGAGCTATTACTTGATTTAGCGTTGTTTTTTCCAAGTTAAATTGGATAAAGAAAGTACATACCTCACAACGTTTTGAACACCTTCCAGCAGGTACCTTTACCTTAGAATGCCACAAGGAATCTGCAGTGCTCCAGAGGAGTATCAACATCACCAAATGAGGTCCTTGAAGGACTAGATGGTATTGAGAAGATATTGATGACATTCTGTGTTATGGCTGTGGTGAAACAGTTGAAGACGCACAGAGAGAGTTCATGACAGGAACCTTCTTCAATAGCTGATACAAGCATGTGAGGTCAATTTGAAGTTGATCAAAAATAAATTCAAGATGAGTCAGCAGCATGTAAGGACAGCTACTAACGAGCAATGGATCAATATCAGATCTTATGAATATCACTGTTAATGCTATCATGCCATGTCCGACTGATAAGAAAGCAGCACAATGTTTGTTAAGTTGCATGAATTACTTGTCAAGATTCATGTGAGCTGCTTCATCAGATTACTGAGAAAATCCTATAATTTATGTGAGAAAGTTGAAGTCTTCGCCACATTACAGAAATGGATTACATCAACACCGTTATTGAAATACTATGATATTGATACTGAAGTCACTGTACAGTGTGATGCATCTGAGTCTAGTTTGGGAGCTACACTACTTCAAAATGGTCAGCCAGTTGCATTCGCATCCACATCATTGTCAGTAACAGAATGTTGATATGTAGAGATAGAAAAAGCCTTTCCATAGTATTTGCTTGTTGTAGATTTGATCAATATTTACATGATTGTCACATGTTGAGACTAATCACAAACCACTAGTCTCAATATTCTCGAAAGCAATACAGTATGCTTTAAGACACTTACAAAGAATACTTTTCCACTTATAGAAGTATAACTTGAGAGTAACATATATACCAGGCACTTAGATGTATATAGTTGATATGTTTAGCCGAGCATATGAAATTGAAATAGTCAATGAAAAGAACATTCCTGAATACCAGATATTTCAATTAAAGCGAGAACCAGCTTGACTATATGAGACATGCATCAGAAGGCATGCATCAGAACAGACATTGCTTTGCAGATGTTCATGATTATGATAATGTCAGGATGACTTGAACCATGACAAGTCCCTATCAGTATACACGAGATGGTGTTATCTATAAAGGAATGAAAGTAATAATACCTACTTCAATGAGACCACAATTGATTGATTATGTACGTCGAGTTTGTGGTGTTCTCTATTGACCAGGAATGGGACGAGAAATTGCAATGACTTCCCTCCGCAAAAAAGCAAAGACAACCATTAATGACACATTTGTTTTACTTTTTATTCTGAGAATTATTTCGTAACAGTTGATTACTACAGTAATTACTATGAGTTGGATCTACAAAGACTGTCATTAATGCTACTAAAGCTCACTTTGGCATTGCTGATATAGTGAGTGACAATGTTCCTCAATATATTAGTGAAAAATTTGAAACATTCACAATAAATTAGTCAAGAAGGCCAAATGTGACAACAAAAAAACATTCAGATAGCTTTACTTGAATGGAGAAACTCGTGGATAAAACCGGGCCAAGTCCTGTACTGCAACTCATGTCAAGAAGAACAAGAACTGTAATCCCTACAGCTGAGGCACTATCAAGACCTCAAATGGTGATATCTAATTCAAACGGATGATGCTCATCTGACATCACCACAAATTCATTCACTCAGATCCATACCAAATAGTATCAAAACAATCATAAATGATGTCATCACAGATAATTTAATTATCTAGATTCTAGACCAGTAACTGAGCCTACTCCATTGTAACCAAGTACAGCAGTTACACCAGACATACACACACCCACTTTGTCTAACACTGATATTACTACTCCATATTGCATACCTGTAAAACAACATGTTTTTATGAGACATGGAAGGATCAGTGTTCCCTCCTGTCAAACTCAAAGATTTTGTTATGGACTGTTAGGCATGTATTTCGTAGAACAATTTTACTTTATTGAGTGTCTGTTGCTGGTGGACAGAAATAGAGTATTGTACTGTGGAGAAATGGATATACCGGTAATCATATTGTACATTTGAACTGCTAACTTTTAAAGAAAGAGATGTTAGTATATACACACGTTAGTGTTATTACATACTAAGTCAAAGTTCATGTATTAGAGATCACCCATCATGCAATGTGGTTGAATACATATGGCGTCCATCTAAGTACACAGTGCTATTGTTGTCTAGTCGTCTTTACTAGATTACTGCATTCACTAGGCATAACAAACACGATGAATACACACAGTATATAGCAACAGTTGACGATAATAATGAAGTCAACTAATGAAGAGACTGAAGGAATTGCTAATAATCCACCAGTTACTGCAAACAACAGAGCAGCACAAGAATAAGGAAAATAAAGAAAAACAACATACTGATACTGAGCAACAGCCTAGTGATTTCAATCAATTACACAGTTTCAAGATGGAAAAACCAAAGCTATCAAGGTTTCAGGTGATGGCAAAAAGTGCTTCGTATTCTGAGCTGATTTGCGCATATGGTGGACGAAATATGCAGTAAATATGGTGAATAACACTCCTACAAACCTGTCTTCAAGATAAACCACTTGACCTGATTCGAGCTGCTCAAACATGATGAAGATGGTAGCTTATGTGAACTTGTCCAATGCAGTTACAAAATACTAAAAGAAGTATGGACATGATAGAGAAGAAATGAGTGCAGACAAATGGTTTTGAATGCCTGAGAAAGAGAAGCAAGAAGTCAAAACGAAAACCTTGATGGACTGGATGACATCAGAAATGAAATCTAGAATAAGAGAAACAACACCGTTATGCAACTCAGTTAAGTTCACTTCATGCATGTCATCCGTCAAATATATACCTATCTGAAAACAAAGATACCAATTCCAGTGTGTTGGATCTGAACATCTAGTCATTGAGTAAATCAATGAACGTTTCGGAAAAGCATGCTCTAGAAAGAAATAATGGTGTTCTGTAACTGGTTCCACCATTTATTATTGCATTTACTAATTCCATGGGTGTAGCCACAGTATGTAGTCAAGAGATACAATATTGCCAATCCACACCAATGCATTTGTTAAGATTGCCCACATTTGATAGTTCGTGTAGAAAAACGTGTAATGTGATAGTTGGTGTATATGTACCTTGGGTAGACCCCTCTTAGATTTGTTCATTTCGTGTGATATCTTTAATCTTTTTACCGAAAATGTGTGTCATTTTTGGTAAAAGTGATATTTTCAACTTCTTGTTAAAACCACAACTCCGATTGCTTTGATATTATACATATGGGTACCACAGGTGGATATCTCTTAGATTTGTAAATTTCGTGATGATATCTTCTTTGATTGAAATGTGCATTGCTTGTTATAGACTCCAGATCCAGGTTGGCCACCTTGTCTGGTGAATTAAAATGATATAAGCACAGTGGTCGTCGCGCAACCCATGTGCGACATTTGTGTTGATAAACATTGATTTTCCCACAATCCAATTGTGCTCTTCTAATGGAAATCACAAGTTAGAGGTTTGACCTGGGTGCGACTTGCATTAATTACTGTCGGTAACTCCTTTGAAATATCTCTCACAAAAATGTTTCTGCGTATGTTTTTGATGTTCCAAAGCCATAATTTCGGTGATCTTGTGAGAAAATAAAATCATTAAGATGTACTTGCAATATACTGCAATAAAACACCTTACCCGAACATATATACTTCTGCTTGTGGTTACATGAATTATCCTCCAATGCCCAGTAACCATTCTTGAAGCTGTCAATATGAGCACACACACTATATGTAAAAAACATCTAATGAAAAATTAGTTACAACTCAGTGATCTATTTTTTAACAATTACTGTGAAATACTTTATTTTCGCTGAAAAGGCTTTTTGTGCATTTTGCATGGAATTTATTTTCACTGATTTTTGACAAGTTGAATGTAAAATATAGGAAAAAAAGTATATTAGCTGGATTTTATTTTCACGGAATCATCCCTTCAGTGAAAATAGTGAAAATAAATTCCAAGTGAAAATAAAGTATTCTACAGTACTTTCGTTTTCAGCATATGGTACATTATGTCTGTATTTGCACAGACAGGGCACTTAGAATAAGCTGACTACTGTGTATCATGTTATCAACACGCACCATAAACAACATACTTTATATATTAACATAATACAATGACATATTTTAAACATACCGCAATTGGATACAATGACCACGCCCGCTTGGTTCATTCAAATGAAATAAAGTTGATTCAACTACCATTTCTGACCCATCACTGAACCAAATGTAATTGTTCGTAATGTTACCATCGACCCAGTACTCTTCAGTATCGCCTACGTCGGGTAGCACAGATGACGCCCACATCAAACTAGCCTGGCTATTAACTTTGTATGGAGAAACACATTGGGTATCTGCCTGAAACGTTGATTCTGTGCTGACTTTGGGCCCAGCTGTAAAAAAGTGGAATACGTAATTCATAAGCAAAGAGTAAATAAAATGATAATTTTAAATATTTTCTGTCAAATAAAACTTGAGAGTTGTAGTTGTGTTTCTGTTGTTTGAAATAAGGTTTTAATAATGAATGGTAAGTTATCAAACACACCAGAACCTACATCTGACACTACCTCAAATTTTGAATTCCATGAATTGCGTACGACAGTCGCTCTGACCACTGGGAGCCCAGGAACTATGATCAACTGTACGCAGTTCCTATGAGAGGGGATGAAGGCTCCAGTCAGCTCATATTTTTTAAACTGGAAAAACAGACGAACAGAATGAAAAATAAAATCTATAAAAAATACCAGGTTGAAGAATATTAGTTGCTCTTTCAAATATCGCCAAAGCCTTGCCTATATTTAGAAAACTAAACAAATTGACTCCATTTATGAGCAATTAACGGTTGTCTATTTCTTACATTAGATACCAGCCGATACCCCCCTCCCCCCGCTCATAGGGGGGGGGGGCAACACGGCCCAGTGACTTTTTGTTACCCACGAAATAAATAAATAGTTGGTGATTATGAATGTTATATATATTATTGAATAACTATTGACATACGAATAACCAGAAATATACCTACCTGAGCAATTATAAATCAAATTAGCCAACAGAACATCAGCGGCACTCAGTTTGTCACGCTGGCCCATTTTGTATTGTTCATCTGGGTCATTTGCTGTAATTGTTTCCTTATCGTAGGCGATGCTGAAATACTGAATTCATTCGTTGGTTAGTAAACATTGTAAAACACACATACGCTGCCGTAATTGGGTCCATGTTTCTTCAACTATAGTGTCATGATAGCTGAGTTAAAACGGGAGAGTCGTCACCTGCGCAGGCGCGGGAATTGAGTCCCAAGCGACGATATCAACACGCGCTAACAACGCAAAGGCTCATGGGTCGACGCTTGTTTGTAAACAATGACACGCTATGGCCACCTGACGCATGCGTATGTGACGACACTCCTGCTTTAACTATAGTTAGTGTATTAGATAATACATGGAGGAAATAACAATATCATTACAGGTAAAACCAAATGCACATTTGATTTGATAGTTTAGTATATTCTCTCTGTGATATCATGAGTATTGTTAAATTTATCATTGTGGTAAATGCATGACTGTCATTAGAGAAATGTTTAAAGCGCGGTGGCCGTCGCGCAGCGCGTGTTTGAATTTCATGTAAATAAACAATGTATTTTACACACGTTGTATACGTCGCTATGAGTCCCATATCGAACAGGACG